TCTTTTGGTCCTACTTAAAGAATTACTTCAAAGGAAGCCTTCACCTCAAGCACCAATCTGTATGGATCTAGAATCATTCCTTACTTCTCTGCTAAATTTACATTTGTTAACTACTGAATGATTAGTGAAGGAGTAAACAATCATTTATTACAATCTTAAAAAGAACAAAATCATTATGTTGAAGTTGGATTTCTATAGTAAAATTCCAGGACAGTTCAAATCAGCTAGGACATATGTCTCTTTTTACCTCTCTTCATCACCTGCTCTATTAAAACTTTATTTAGACCTTCTGCTACTCAAGCTCTATCTTTTTAACACTTGTGCAGTTAGAAAGCAAATCTTTCTGATGTCAGCCATTATAATGATGGAAAAACCCCAGAATTTAAGTGCTCCTTCTATTTTTGGTTTGTTCCTTTCATTTTGCCCACTGTTAGCCCAAATCCAGGCATTATACTGGGCTTTCTAGTAATTTGTGAGATGTAATCCCAGTTGCAATGTGGAGGGTTAAAAATGGTGGCTAGTGGCTCTGACTGTGCCAGCATTGTGCTTCTGACCTTTCCCTGCTATCAGAGGGTATAGAGAAGGCAATTCTGGTACTCCTGGGAATCCTCGCATCATCTTGGCACCTATGGATCTACAAGTTATGACTATAATTCAGAAATTAGACTTAACTGTAGGGTGAATTTTCAGCTCCTAGAAACAGGTAAAGTGAAGGTAATTTGCTCCTCTTCTAATCCTGTAAGGTAAAAGACTTTTCTTCTGGCTTCACTAAAAAGTTAATGCACTGGGCTTGCAAATACTTGTGCAGTTCTGCTCTTTCCCCTTTGCTCTGAATCGAGGGGTCTTCACATGCTAGTCCTGCTTCCCCACATGGATGTGTTTGCTTGCTTACAAATCCTACGGATTTGTAATAAATCTGTGAAGCTACCTGGGGATACAGGCAGCTTGAGACATCACGCCACCCCTATGCTAATGACACGTATCTCTAGATCTCTTTTTTAATCTGACCCAGATGGTGCCAGTGTCCTGGTTTTCTCAGTGCCTGATCAACAAAAGGACTTGGGTGAGACCTTGATGACTAGCTGAGATTTAATTTAAATAGGGCAGAGGTGATCCTTACTGCTGGGGAAAGCAGCCTAACACCATGGTAGAGATTATGTCTTTTCCTATTAATGAGAGAGTATCCTCATCTGAGTAATATCACAATTCAGAGATCAGCATTGGTCTCCTTTGTTTCCAGTTTTAATTTATCATTGGAGTTGTGATGGTTTTATCCTGTGGTAAACCTTATCTTGGCCTCTGGCATTTCAGACTGCATCCCTGGAGTGTGGTTGGTGAGTTGACTTGCACATGAAATAATTTTAAAACATGCAGAGACTTGATTGCTTTTCACAGTAAGCTGGTTTTCTGCTCACAGCTGGTACTTTTAGGATCTTGGGCAGAGATCTGTGTAGAGAAAAGGCATCTTTTTCTTCAGTGAAATTGCTAAAAGTTTTGATTTTTATTAAAATAAAAAGGTGGTGGTGGTTTTTCTTTATGCAGATTTTTGGCAAAGTTACTAGAAATTTTTGGATCTGTAGACTTGATCTGGGTCTATGAACACTTAATGGTACAGAAGAGTACACGACCAATAACAAACCTCTCATGCAGGTTTCTCTTGTAGCAGCAAGGGTGGAGGGAATTGTTTTCTGGCGCCTTGTCAGTGCACCTGCAGCCTGCCTGATTTAAGCACAGGACTTGCGTCTAAGCTTCAGGTACTTGAAAAAGCCATGCTCCAAAACCGAGTGCTCCACTTCTCCATTATATTTAATGGCAAGAGGTAAGTGCCTTTGACTATTTCAGGAAAATCTATTTGCGAACTCAGAAGTCTAAAATAATGTCTAATAAACTGCCATTCTGGGAGGCCTTCAAAGGCACCTAACTCTTTCTTGACACACAAATTTTCAGACATCTCGGTAGGATGAGGGCAGCTGGGCAGAGCTGTTTTTCTTTGGACCTTGTCCTTCGGGGATAGAAGGGGTATCTGACCTTATGCTAATGGCACGTCTTAGAGTTGCCCTGGAGCTGTTCCTCCAAGTACTTTAGGGATTGGTTGACCTCAAAGCTCATGGAGCTAAAATCGGCTCCCAGATACTTCACGCCCATGGTGCAGTGCATGGAGCTCTGGCTCAAAAGAAGAATCTGTCCTTGGAGACTTAAAAACAGCCCTTTTGTTATGACTCCTTGTAATAACCTTTGCCTTCTTGCCCTGAGGTTGTACAAATCAACTGTAGTCAAGGGACAGCTAAACTAGGCCAGGAGATGAAGGTGAGGAGATGAAGAATTGCAGCACAGGTACCCCTATCAGCTGGTTTACCATGTTTCTCATTAAAGCCATCATGTGGGACAGTCTGCATTTGGAGATACACCCTTTCTTTTGAATGAGATATTTTTCATCTTTTGAATGTCTAAGAAGGACCCACTCCATTCTGGAGCTATCACAAGAAAAGGTGTGTGGCACCTTATAAACAAAACCAAGAAGAGATAAGAACAACGCCAATAGCTGCTGGTGGGTTTTTTGTCTTTTATCTCTATTATAGAGCTTATTTTGTGATTTATCTCTGTTACAGAGACCAGAGGGGTTCAGGTGCAGTGGGAGGATGGAGGAATAAGACAACCGTTATAGACGTCTCTGACTAGGAATTAATCCTGAATCATACTCACTGGAGGGATCAGCTGTGTTTACATAAGAAACCACTGTGCAGAATGCTCTAAATATAGGTGACTCTGGCCTTAAAGAGCTTACTGTCCATAAAAGACAGAGAGAATAAGGGCCAGAGAGAAGCTTTGGAAATGAGACATTTTGAAACATTGAGTCACCATAACTTTATTCAGTACTGAAGATGATTTCTGCTCTCCCATTTGCCTGTTTTCCTTCAGCAGGGATGTGCCAGCTACCTCAGGCAGGTCTGCAAGTCTTAACTTCCATTCTGTTCCTTCACAGGAGAAGCTGTGATAGGAACCAGGCAAGTAGACTATGAAAAAATACAGAGCCACTATTATGGAAGAGTGTTTTGTGCAGTGTAAAACCAGCCTGGCTGACAGTCGAGAGCTAAGGGTGAAATCTGCAGTAAAACAGCTGGTGGTGCAGATCAGTCATGATGTCCTCCAGGTTCCTGAAAAATGCAGAATGTGGAGCTACGAGCCACTGCCAGCCATGCTCAGCTGCAGTCTGGGAGACATAAATCAGCATCTTCCAGCTACAGAATCAAGGTGTAGAGGGACTAATCTGAGGACTAACGCAACTCGGTGATTGTCTGCAGCAAAGTTAGCCCCAGGAAGCACAGAGCAGTGAGGTGGCTGAACAGGAGCTGGCTCAACACAATTCATCTGAGGATGTGAAGGTGGCAAAAACCATGTTTGCATCATTCACGTAAGTGAGACCTGCTAAAATTCTCTTTGTTCATTCATTTACTTGTGGCAGGCCAAATCAGCCCGCCAAGGGGAGGGGAGCAGTATTTTTGTTTTCTCTTCAGTTAATCCTTTTTGCTGAGTCCCGCTACTGAAGACAGTTATCTGTACAGCTTCAAGCAGAATGGGGATTTAAACATCAAAGTGCTGATTTAAATTCTGGAGGACAATCAGTATGGAGTCATCAAACCTTCCAGCAATTGTGCTGGTTTCGCCTTTGCTCTGGGCCTGATCCTGCACACTCAGATGCCCACAGCAACCACTGAAGCCAGATGGAGCTTTGACCAGGATGAAGGTCTGTGTAGCACGACTGGTTCTTTGCACAAAGGCACAAACCTAAACTGCTGTTCAGCCTTTTGACCAGGCCAATCACCTCGTGTTTAGCTCAAATTAATTTCAAACTTGAAATCGTTTGGTCCTGTTTGGCTTCTGCAAAGTTTCTTCTCTGGCTGACAGAACAGTTGGTCCTTATTTTTCTCACGGAAACTGCTGTAGTGTCCGGCAGCCCAGGGAACAAGAAATGCTGTGAGACTGTGCAGGTAAGGAAGCAATGTCAGCTCACACCTCCGCAGGTCACACCGTGAAATCAAGCACATCCTTCAGCCAGGGCTTCTGATGGCTGGGGTCACTTTTTAAGCCAAGACGAAAAATGTTTTGTGTTTTTTTTTTCTTTTAGTGTTTGTTTTTTAGGGCTGTATGTGATGGATGTTAACACTTTAATATTAAAATACCTCAGTTATCACAAGGCTGAGAATGGGGAGCTCCCAAATAGTATCAAAATAGTGACTTTTGGCTTCTGCTTCCCACCAGGGGTGTGTGTGTGTGAAAACACATATGTCTTTGCTGAGGAGCACTGTTTGAGTCCTCTGCTGCTGCAAAATTGTCAGGTGCATTCGAACCTCTCTTCTGGTTCTGAATGGATCCTGATTTCTGTAAGCGTGTTCCTTCCTGATAAGTACTTGAGAAATAATCTGTGTGACTATATTTAGCCTCCAAGTCCCACAGCACTTGCTTTTGGCTGAAGTGGCAGGTTTTTAACATCTGTCTCTTACTGTCTGACTATATGAGGAAATCTTCTTAGGAGAGCAAAAAAATAACATTGAATTGCCAATACCATAAATAAATCAGTACTTACTCTCATCTATAAATCTGTTCACATTTAAGCATGGGTATTTGTACATAGAAAAATCATTCCATAGACAGTTATAAAAATAAAACTCAATCCATGGGCATATTCACAGGTGCTGAAGAGTGAGGTGTAGGCATGTTTGAGCTGAGCAACTGCTGCAGATTCAAATTCAGGCTTGTAGACACTGTCCTGGTAGCAGCCAGCTGTCCCCAGGCGTGGACTGTAGCTCAGGAAGGACAGTCAAAATGTGCCGAGATCTAAGCTGAGAAGGTACTGTCCAATTGCTAAAGGACTTGATCTCTAAATTTACTTTGCTGTTGATGTTAAATTTCCTAGGAAAACTGTCTGTTGCTGAGGTATTCCTGCAAAAAACTGTATATAGCTCACCTTTCTCAGCCGTGCTGCATGGAAGAACACTTACCTCTATAAGCATGTACAAGGAGAGCAGTGTAATCCCAAGGTTATATACAATGAGGTGAGCCCTGAGCGAGAAAGGAGGCCTGTCCTTCATGAACTTGTTGCCCAGCCATATGCAGAGTAGGTATGCTCCAGTAAGGAAAAATGTGGGAAGGTAAGAGTCCAAAAGGAACCATCCTCTGACCCTGGCATCTGAAAAGAAACACATGCAGCAGTCAATTAAGAAGACTATGGTAAAGCATTGCTAAAATAAGGCAGATCGCATAATGAAAAAATCTGCTAGAAGCGCAAGAGGGAATCTGCCATGCTTTGCTCGCAAGAGTGATCCATTGCTTTTACCCTGCCCCGCCAAAACTGCATACTAATTCAGAGAATGTGTGCTGAAAACTGCATGGAATTCCCTAACAATTTAAGGTCACTTAAATCTCCTCCTTTTAAATGGAAAGAGAAAATGAAAAGAAGAAAACATTCCTATATGCTTTTTAAAATTTAATTTAATGTTTTAACTTAATATTTAATTAAACCATATCTTAATCTGCTCAATCAGCAGTCTGCAGATAGTATTAAATACAAAGTATGTGTGCAAAGTTGCCAGTTGATATATTTTTTAATTCTGTATCTGCAATATAAGTATGAAGGTATATAACACTTGCTAGAAAATATTTATACAAGGGGAGGATTTTTCAAGAACATTAAAAATGAAAACCAAATGGCAAATGTTTACTTTGACTGTTATCTAAGATCTTTGGTAAGGCAAGGGCTTGCTTTTTCACAGTTTCTGTCCCATTTGCCTGATCCTGAACTGAAATATTAAGGTCAAATCCTGCTTGCCTTATTCACACAAGTAATCCCATTGGCAGTAATCAGATAGTTCAGTGTATATGAGCAAAGCCTAATCCTATATGCCAATCTGGAGGCACCACTATGTTGTCCTATGAGCAACTGGATATCATGAGCAAAAGGAGTGTGTTTTCTTTTTTTTTGTTTTTCTTTTTTTTTTGTTTTGTTTCCAAGATGGAGCAAAATTTAGAGTTAATTTTTGCACGGTAACAATCTTCAGACATTTATCTATAAAAAGAACAAGGGGCATCATGGCTAGTTTTTCAAAAATGTTACTCTAAATCTGTCATGATTTATGGAGTAAGTGAAGAAATAAGTCAGTGAGAAGCTATTATACAGGTCACAGTAGTTCTTTCTGCTCTTAGAAACTGTTTTAAATAACTTTAGTTTATTTTTTAGATTATTAAAAATTGTAAAAGAAGAAAAGATATTCATAGTGTATGAAAAATCATTTTACTATTTTTCTGCCTGTGTTGATTTTGGAAAGGACTGGGCAATGGATGATGCTGAAACCAAATGTGCCCAAGCATTTAACAAACTGTTGCTGATTGCAAGTTTGCTGTACTGTATTCTTTCTGACTATTCTTTCCTCAGAAATATATGCATACAGCTATACTTAAAGTGAGATTTTAAGTAAGTTAGAGTAATCTGCTTACGAACAGGGCTATGAACATCAGCTTTCTTTCTCATTACAGTATCCCTCCCCTTCCCACCTTGCTTCCATCGCAGTGGCTGTAACGCTGATCTGTTGGATTTGGGCTCTGCATGGGATGTTAGCTCTTTTGCAGGAAAGACTTTTAACCAGACCTAAGTTACCATGGAAGCCCAGTACTCTCCTGGTTTTGATTCTCACTTCTGGACTCCCCAAAACCTCTAGGAGAGGAGAGGCGCAGGATTAAAGCGGTCACAACAGCACAACCACCTGTGACAAAGGACCATCCTTCGTTTAGGGTGGCCTTGCTTTGCTGTGCATTACCAAGCTAGAAGGCCTGTGTTCTGTCTTCAGATCTCAACGTCTACTAAAGATCATCTTGGTGGTAGAGTAAAACACTTCCAACAGCCCTCTTAAAGTTCACAAGCCACGTGTGAAGCTCTGGAATAGTTTTTGAGAGAATTCTGCTCCCACGTGGGCTCTAAACAGGACCGAGGACCCATGGGACAGGTGAAGGTTGTGTGTGTGTTGATCTAGTGTATGGTTTAGGAGCATAAGGATTTAATTTATTTAATTGGCATCCCAAATGAAGATGTAGAAAGCAGTCATGTCAGCAAGGCTGCTATCCAAAGAAGGGTCTCCCCATCTGAGGGTTGCAACACTTGGTGGATAAAGGTTACTTGCACAAAGGCCAACTGGCATCAGTAGATAACAAACCAGCATGTTTGCTCAAAGAGGAAAAACAATTGGAAGAGATGAGAATACAAGCTAAACAGCATTGAATGCTGCCCCAATATGCCCTCTGAAAGTATTCACTCTGCTGTGAGTGGCCACAAGCAGGTGGGCTGATCCATGCAAAAGCAGAACTTGTGTCCTTGTTCAAATCAGCATGTCGAGTATTTTTAAGATCTATACTATTTTCATTTCAAGAGAAATTATTAAAAAGTGTACCCTTACTGATTATTTTCCACCCCAACCTTGGTACCTTGAAGGGTAAGATGGTTATTGGCAGAAAGTGGTTTATAAATGGCAGCCAAGGAATGTGACTATTTTGTTTCCACTTACACTTATTCCTGAATGACAAGAAGAGGGAGGCTTTTATGTGGCAGGAAGGGAGAGGAAAGGGAGTGTATTTCAAAAAAGTTATTGGAAGAAGGAGAGATCAAAAGTATTTCTGTTGACTGACGGTTTGATCTCCAAGTTCAAGTACCATAAAGGTACGCTGTCAATAGGAGAAAGGATTATTTTTCCAATGTTGAACCCACACAGCATCTGAATTTGAGACCAAGGCAGTGAATAAAGCCACAGTGTGAAAGCACTGGACTACAGCAGGGGAAGGAGCAGGCGCCCACAAGCTCTGATTGCTCCGTGAATAAGTTCATTCACAGTCACTGGCCACGATGTGCCAGACCCTTGGGGTGAAATCTTGGCTCCTTTGAAACGAGTGGCAGGCCTCCCAGGCTCTTTAAAGGTATCAGGCTTTTATCAGTGAGGTTTAGAAACATTTTGGTTTGGGTTTCTGTGTAGCTTTGGCCAGTTGGCGTCTGAGTAGATTTAGACCTTCTTAAGAGCAGAGGATAGATGGTTTTGTACCAATGCCCTGCTACTGTTCATAGTCAATTGAGGCGCGGAGGAGTGCTTATTACTTTATCGTAACTTTATTAAAATATATTTATTCTTGACCACCTGTTTGTTTCACATAAAACAAGCAACCAATTAACTAGATTAAGCTCCTGCAATTCAATATTCCTTAATTTTGCATAACACCAAACAATACTCTGGTGACCCTGGAAAAATGCTCTTACAGAACATTATAGCTATTTCACTGTTTCTCATTTTGCCTTGGTCCTAGATAATCTACCTAGAATATTATGGACCAACACCAAATTGTAAGACCACTTCTTAATAAGAGTTGCAACCGATGGGCATTTATATGGCTTCTATTCCCTGATTCAAAGGACTTGGTCTGCTAGTTCAAAAGCAAACATTGAGGTACAAAGTCCAGCTGACACCAGTGAACAAAGGCACAAAGTATGCCTATATATAGATCAAATTCAGATCTTTGATAGTATATCCCTTATTCTAGTAGTGCAGTACTGCAGCTGGTGTTAAGCTGGTACTCCCAATGTGAGCAGAGGTTGCCTCCAGGAACTTTCGGTCTCTTGTGCTCTCAGCCACATTGGGTAATGACGACTAAAACCAGTATAGTAATACCAGCACTTCAGGAGTTACTACCTAAACTATAACCCATAAATATGGGATTGATTTTTGTAAGAGCACTGTTATCTGTCCTTTTAAGCCATCTTGCTGCTGAATGAAGTGTGCACTGTGGATGAAAATTAGTGGAGAGAAAGAAGGGAAATGGATTGCTGGTTTTAGACTTTTGGGGAAGCTCTCTAGAATTCATTAGATTTTCATTTGTGGGATCGTTCTATTCAATTTAAAAATGCTTGCAGTTTATTGTGAATTATTTATCTGTATAAACATATTAGAGCAAGCTATGTTATTCACTAAATGTATGATACTGTGTCATTATACCATCAGTTAAATTAAAGATTGTAGTGCAGAGGTATGGACAAACAAATGCTATCTTCAGCATTGCTGTCTGGAGAGGGATGGCGATGTACTTGGCAAGTAATACAAATAATACTTGTTTAACTAAAGTGCTTTCTAAAAGCCCAGAGGGATCTGTGTGGTATTCTGCATTGGATTAACTACAGTTCATTCCTTCAGACAATTTGTTCTGGACCAACAAAGAAAGAGGAATGAAGGAGAACATCATGTCCATTTGAAAAAACCAACCAACCAAACCAGAAAAAGTACTTTTATGCTTGTGATCACGTTTCTTTGTTAATATTAAAATGTACTATTGTAGAAGCCATTTCTGTTTTAATCACTTCTACTGCTGTTCCCAAGCTGTTCAGTTTTTCTTCACCAGAAATGTTTCTTTCACGCTTCACATCTACTGCAGAGATGATGGATAAGATTTTTGCGGCCGGCCAGCTAGCCAGCTAAGAAAAATGAGAATTTCTTGGTTTTAAGAATGCTACAGCTTGCTTTCCCTTGTCCTCCTAATTAAGCAAGGATTGTTTCTGGGACCTGGAGAACGTTATTGTAACAAAATGAGAATACATAAGCATATGTCCATCCACATGGGCAGCAGTTCTGGATTTAACCACGGGGGAAAGTTTGCAAGGCTGTTCCTGAAGTTGAATGTTTAAGCCCAGCCCTAGCAGCAGAAAGATGGCCTTACAGGGACTTTCTCTGAAGACTGTCTGCTGTCTAAACTTCTGTCTTATCCCTTTCCTCTCATCGCTTGGCTCTCTTACCCTGACTTTGATGCTCCATCCTCACCTTGCCCTAGTCTTTCTCTTTATTTCTGTGGTCTTATTTCAGGTTGGTTTTTTTTTTTTACTATTACTTGTTTCAGTCCTAATAAATCATGAGGCACCTCCAAATTACAGTTATTCCAGTTATTCTTGTCCAAAGTGTTTTAGAAAGCAAAAGTAGGAAGTAGAAAGATGCATCTGTTCTCCCACCCTGGTTTACTGAAATTTTGGATGTGATCCTGCAGGGTGCTAAAATCCCTTTCCTGCTTTTGCTCTGAACATCCTTCTGAATTAGGCTGAGAGATAGCTGGACAAATCAATAACTGGATTATGAATGAGAATCAGCCTCAAAGCAGATCTTCCACTTTCAGAAAAACCCCAGTTTTCAATTTTTTTAACCTACATTAGGATATAAAACTGAAATCCTTTGATATTCTCAGACAAAGGACTGTCAAATCTAGTGACTTTTTTTAAGTTTCAGGAAAAAAGGTAATTCAGTTTCACTACTTCTTTCACCTTCAGTGTAATCTGTGATTGGTTTTAATTTGTATTACAGGTAATATTAATGTCAGTCAAAAGAAAAATGTATTGGCTTTCTATAAATGCGGTGCACAGTGATAGATTTCCTACAATAATGGTATGTTCCTGCAAATACTGTGATTCTGCCTAGACCACATTTTTCAGTGACAAATTATTCAGATAGAAGATTTTGACTACTTCTATTTATTAAAATATTTTTGAGTGGTAATCTGGATAGGTATTGTTTCCTAAAAAGGCTAAAAGTGGAGCAGCTTACCTCGAGGTCCAAACATATAGTCCACAAATGCATTTACTTCCCGGTCAAAAGCTTTCAGATGCTCCTAAAAAATATAAAAAGGGTATGTGACAAACATTATCTTATGGGTCACATAGAGGTTACAATTTAAAAAAAACAACAAACTGGCAAAGAGCATGTCATGCTAAAGTATTTCCAAAGTACGCAACATCGTGTCTACTGAAAAAAGCCAAACCTCTTTAAAAATTAATTTAGGACAGATTGTGGTCTAGATAACAATAGAGGCCTTGTTACTGGAAACTGCCCAAAACAGAACTCTTTAGGAAGGGAAATTAAGGTTTTACAAATTAAAAAGAACAAGTATCACAGCAAACCTGTCTGTGATAGAGCAAAAACAACACCTAATAAAGATGCTTTTTTTGTTTGTTTTTGCTATGTTTCCTCAACTGAAATAATTTTTTTTTGCAGAGAAGAGCTGGCGCTTCCTTTAGTAAGCTTCACAAAGCTGCCTCGTTGCAACTAGCTTAGTGACAGTGCATCAGCTGAATATCTCGATGCTTTATAAAGGAAACCTTTGGGGTGACCCAACTGAGCTTTCTCTAAATCGGGCACTGAGTTCCTAAAACAAAGTCTGCAGGAGAACACAGACCTCTTGTAATGAAGTTCAGACTATGTAGGGAGGGAGGAAGAAGAGGCAGGAGGAGGAGGGCTATGCTACAGAGGCATTGTGTTTTGAGGTTTAAGTCAACGGAGCTGCTCAGCTGGCAGGCCTAGCAAGTTTGCGTCTGTTTGTGACTGAGCTGGGAGCTAAGCCATGACAGGCACAGTCCTTCCCTCTGTCAGATGCGGTGGCCTCTCCAAAATACTTCTTCTCAGACTCCAGTTCTGGGCTGTGGCTTCCTGCATGCCGGTGCCTGAACGACTCTGCCACAAGCCTGAGGTCAGCCAGGTTCTTCCTCTGCTCCTTCCAACAACACCCTGCTGCGTTTGATGAATTAATTTCAGCACTGAGCAAATGCAGCCAAGCTGAGGAGAAAGACACAGAGTGATGCTGAGCACCTCCACAGGGCGAGAGCTGCCAAGGGCTGTGTGTGCCTTTGAATGCCAGATATCTCCACACCAGCCTGGGCTGCAGTCACCATCAGCAGATCTGCTTCGTGAAGAACCACATTTGCTCCCTGGCCCTGGCCTCTGCATTCCCCTGCTGTGGCTGGATTGCGGTCTGGGCAGGCAGAAGCTCCTGGCACACACAAGCCCCTTGTGTTTCTTCCCCTCTTGCATTTTGGTCCTTTAGGATGTTCAAAGTGGACGGGTTTTGTGTGAATACGTGGCAGCAAGAGGTTTTGCAGCATCCCAGGCTGTAAAGGTCTGTCTCTGTAAGGCTGTGTTCATCCTATCTTAAAGAAAAACCCAACAAAACCCCCAAAACTAAAACTATGTGTAGTTTTTTAAAACAAAAAAATAAAGGACTTGCTCTGAAAGAGGAGAAAATGAAGCTAACAATTCACGATACAAAAAGATTCCTCATACTTTGCAGCAATGAGGAAATTAAGCTAGCTTTTAGGAAAGGGTTCCGACTACTGCCCCTGGAGAAAAGTGTTTTCTCAATTTCAGACATTTTCCTCAGCAGCCTAAGGATGTCTTCTGTCATAAGAGGTTGCTCTGTTTCCAGGTGCGGGACCTGTTCAGAAGTTCTGCTTCCATTTTTACATCCTTAAGCTATGTAATTTTTCTGCTATTATTTCATGATGAAGGTACTGCCATTTGGGGGATGCCACACTGCTGTTTGTCTGTGATATGCCCACTTGCTACGTTAATTTGAAACACAGCTACTCCTGTGCTTGACGGTTTTGTTGTTAGACTTAATGGACTGCTTTGGAAAAAATACCTTAATGGATTCAAGTGACTTGTAGGAAAGAGCATGCAAAGCTACTTGCTTTCATGCTTACATTATATAAACAAATCTTACGTGTCAAGAACAAAATAATAAACCATGTATATTCCTTTTATATTAAAATACTGTAGATAAATGTACTCTTGGCTGCGTTGAAATGGAAATTAGGGACTGAATTCTTCTAACAGTTAGATGGCAGAATTAGAGTTGTAGAATAATTATTAAGGAGAAAGAGCAGAATGAAGACTTTAAAAAAAAATAGAATCATAGAAGCATTTTAGTTGGAAAAGACCTTTAGATCATTGAGTCCAACTGTTAACCTAGCACTGCCACGTTGACCACTAAACCATGTCCCCAGGCACCACATCTACACGTCTTTTAAATACCCCCAGGGATGGCGACTCAACCACTTCCCTGGGCAGCCTGTACCACCTTCTTTCGGTGAAAAAATTTTTCCTAATATCCAATCTAAACTTCCCCTGGCGCAACTTGAGGCCATTTCCTCTTGTCCTATCACCTGTAACTTGGGAGAAGAGCCCGATCCCCACCTCACCACAACCCCCTTTCAGGTAGTTGTAGGGAGCGATCAGGTCTCCCCTCAGCCTCCGTTTCTCCAGACTAAACAACCCCAGCTCCCTCAGCCGCTCCTCACAAGACTTGTGCTCCAGGCCCCTCACCACCTTCATTGCCCTTCTCTGGACACACTCCAGCACCTCCATGTCTTTCCTGTCGTGAGGGGCCCAAAACTGAACACAGGACTCGAGGTGCGGCCTCACCAGTGCCAAGTACAGGGGGACGATCACCTCCCTGCTCCTGCTGGCCACACTATTTCTGATACAAGCCAGGATGCCATTGGCCTTCTTGGCCACCTGGGCACACTGCTGGCTCATATTCAGCTGGCTGTCAACCAGCACCCCCAGGTCTTTCTCTGCTGGGCAGCTTTCCAGCCACTCTTCCCCAAGCCTGTAGCGCTGCATGGGGTTGTTGTGACCCTAATGCAGGACCCGGCACTTGGCCTTGTTGAACCTCATACAATTGGCCTCAGCCCATCGATCCAGCCTGTCCAGATCTCTTCGTAGAGCCTCCCTACCCTCCAGCAGATCAACCCGCCCTCCCAACTTGGTGTCATCTGCAAAATATACAAAGATCGTTTTTTGCATAGGTTACTGTTTTCATTGATCCAACTTGTGACAGTCGACCTCTTACACCTGGCTAAGATGAGCAGACAGCATGCTGACTAGATGAGCCAGCCTAAAGTTAAATCCACCTCCTTATGAATGTGCTTAAATGACACAGTGGGGACTTTTATCAGCTCCCAGCCCTGCTCCAGTCTATCTTAATTAGCACTAGATCAGTTCAGTGCCTGGTTTGCTTTCATAGGTAATTTGAGTGTAGAAATTTTTCTAGGAGGTGCAGCAGAAGAAACAAATATACTTAAGAATTGTCCCAGCATTTACCTCCTTTTTAGCTTTTTTACAGCTTATCTTAGTTTACAGGAACAAAAATAGAGATTTACAAGATATAGCTTTACAAGGTTGTTAAAGACAATACATTTGTTTGTATACCTAATACTAGTACTAATGTTTGGAAAAAAAAATTCTTACTTTAAAACAGGTAGGTCATTTTGTGTGACTGATCTTGTCACCTTCCTGTCAACGCTGCTACAAGAGACCATACCATATTTCTGGGTTTTAGAATATGTCCTTTATAGTGCCTCTAGGCAGATTAGATGTGAATGTCTTGCTCTTTTCTAAAGAAAAGCAAATAAAAACAGCCTGAACAAAACCACATGCTCAGACTACTCACTTTTCTCTGCCTAATCACTATAATAGCCTTTATCAGTGAAGGTATTTGAGTTACGAAGCTAAAGATTAACATATATTTCATGTTTTTCCTTCTGTTGTACAGGACACTGCTCTGGGTATTGGCAATGCTAGCAGTTTGGCAGAATTTCAGACAGATTTGTGGAAGATTTATATACCTACACCTATGAAAAAGACATTAGGTTATCTGAGCAAATCAAATCACCCAAATGGAAAGATGAGGAGAGGACATAAAGCCAATGATGATAAAGCAACATAGAGGTCTCTAATGAGTTGCAATATTTTTGTAACAGAAATGGAAATAAGTGAATAAGTAGCACGCTGCGCACATGTGAATTACTGTTTTCATGTTGATTGCACCTAAAACACTATTTCAAAGTCAGCAGGTATGGGAAAAAAACCCCACTTCTCATTCTATGCGTATACAGCTTTGCTAGTGTTGGTTTTCACTGAGAGACCAATGTCTACTGGTTTCCTAATAGTTTTAGTAAAAGTAATATAAGCTATGCAAAAACTATGTACATGCTGTCTAAACAGTGCAGATATCAAAATACCTTTGATTTCTCAAAACACCAATGATCCGTCTTTAGGCATTATCTACTGCCCACTGAAAACATTGCCACAAGTGATTTAAATTTCTCTTTATATAGCTATATAAACCAGGCTACCTGGATCCAGTATAAACATGAAAAAACTTCTTTCTTTTACAGAAGCAAGCAGATGGACTTGTCCCTGTGTCCTGGTTTCAGCTGGGATAGAGTTAACTGTCTTCCTAGTAGCTGGTACAGTGCTATGTTTTGAGTTCAGTATGTGAAGAATGTTGATAACACTGATGTTTTCAGTTGTTGCTCAGTAGTGTTTAGACTAGAGTCAAGGATTTTTCAGCTTCTCATGCCCAGCCAGGGCACCTGACCCAAACTGGCCAACGGTGTATTCCATACCATGGGACGTCCCATCTAGTTTAGGAACTGGGAAGGGGGGGGCAGGGATTTCACCGGTTGGGGACTGGCTGGGTGTCGGTCGGCGGGTGGTGAGCAATTGTCCTGCGCATCATTTGTACATACCAATCCTTTTATTACTACTGTTGGCATTTCATTAGTGTTATTATCATTATTAGTTTCTTCTTTTCTGTTCTATTAAACCGTCCTTATCTCAACCCAGGAGTTTTACTTCTTTTCCCGATTTTCTCCCCCATCCCACTGGATGGGGGGGGGTGTGTGTGTGTGAGTGAGCGGCTGCGTGGTGCTTAGTTGCTGGCTGGGGTTAAACCAGGACACCCTGTCAGCTATTGTTCCCAGTGACAATCTTAAAAAATCTCCCAACTACTACTTTAGCAAATTAATACTGCAGTCTAGAAACGAG